AGATTTCTTTTACGTCGCCGTATTGATTTTTAAATTTTGAGGGTCAAGTGATACATTAAATATCACAGGAAACAAGATGTCATCTGTGCCATGTGGGAATTGACAGTGGATACTTCTTTTTTAAAAACCCTCACCCAAAGATATGTTCTTACTGATTTTAGAGAGAGGAAGGGAGAGGGAGAGAGAGAAGAAGAAACATCTATCGGTTGTCTCCCATTTGCACCGAGGATTGAACCCCCAACCTTTCTGGTGTACGGGACAACGCTCCAACCAACTGAGCCTCCCAACCAGGGCGGGATACCTTTCTCTCTTTCTTTCTTTCTTTTTTTTAAAACTGTAAGTGACAGGAAAATTGTTAACTGTGTTTTGAGCATTTAATTTTGACTGTTCTTTCCTCTCTATATCCGTAATCCTATATAATTTTTTTCTTTTTAATCCTACATTAATTTGGTAGATTTCTTTCAGGTGGTGTACTTTTATTGTAACCTTTTGAATAGGTGGAAGTTATTGGGTCTTGGGAACCGTTTGGTACCACGTATAGAAGTAGGAAAGCTGAATAAAGGGACTTGGAAGCTTAGGGAAGAGCAAGAGAGGAATTCTGCTGGTCGAGGTCATCTGCTGGAAAGCACTGACTAAGCAGGGCCAGGAGCTCCGTGGGGGAGACGTGAAATCAAAGGGCTTACAACGCGAAACGATTTTAATAATAACCGTAGGGCCAGCTCAGATGGAGGAGAGAGCTCTCTAATATGACCTAGTAGCCCAGGGCTGTGAGCCCCAGGAATGGGACTAGGCTCTCCTCATGGGTTCTGATGACTTCTCAGGGGAGAAGGGTTTGGCAACAAGGTCATGGCAGGATGGCAGAAAGTGCCAGAGTGAACATGAGAAAACCAAAGGGACGATTGTCTAAGAGCTGTTTGGCATAAGTGCTGAGCAGTGATTTAATGGTAAATTCTTCAGGAAAAGGAAACTTTGGAGAAGACGTGGAGAAGCTGAGGAGTTCACTGATACCTAAAAAGCTTTTAAAAATAGTTTTTGCTTGAGAGGAAGGAGTTCATCATTGAGAGAAATTGGTGAGGATTTAAGTTTACACAGGTTTGGGTCTTTAAAATGAAAGTAGTTGGAAAAAACTGAGCGGCCATAAAGTCAACCTGCTATTTGAGTGCTGCAAAAAGCAAATGAAATAGACACGGTCCTTCTTTATGAACCTGTTATTCAGTTAAACAGTTACGTACTTACTGCCTAGTATTCAAAAGAATGGACCAATTTTCTTTTTTATAAAACAAGGAAATACATGGCATAAATCTGTTAAGGTCTAGTTTTGTTTGGCATGATCTTGCTGAAAGCTAATTTAACTGAGCACATAATACATCCGGTTTGGGAACTATATTTTAGTAACAAACAGAAACATAGAAGATGTGTTTAAAAAGAAATGAAAGGAGCAGATTGCGCACTTGCAGAGTGGCAAAAGAAGAACACATAATAACCCTAGTTAGACTTCTAGGTTATTTTGTGTGTGTAAGCTATGAGTGTGATAGTCCTGTGTTTTTGTTTATTTACACAAATGTGAAATATCCACTTGATCAAGTTTTGAGATTTCCCCCCCACGAAATATGATAATTACTGGTAATAGGTTAAATAAAAACCTTTTTATTGTTATGGGAAGATGATAAAGTATTAAACTCCCATATAATGCTGTGCTTAGTAATCAGCATGATTTAGGCCTGCTAACTCACAGCTCGGCTAGATTTTTCAAGTGTTTAACCTTTGCAGGGGAACAGAATGCCTTCTTCAGCACAAGGGGCAGGTTTTCTCCAAGATGCTGCCTTAGTCAATCAACGCACATACCATACACTTCTTTTTCGTTTAAAAATAAGGAATTTTAGTAGTAAAGTTTTTTGATTTTATAACTAAATTGAATTCATAAGAAGTGTAGTATTAGTATTTTCCTCTAAGTCAGTGGTTCCCTGACATATCTCTGTAGACCAGTGCTGGCCCACGAACACGGAGTTTTTAATAAATTTAAATGTGTTCGATGGAAAGGCTATCTTTTAGTCTGAGATTTTATCCTATCTACTTCTTTTTTGTGTGTGTCTTAAAATGTAAACTTACTTTTTAGAGGAAGATTTTGAAAAATATTTTTAGATTATGTGTTTATACATTTAATTTTTTTCTAGTGTATTGAGACGTAACTGACATGAGTTTCAAGTGGTCCATGGCATGTACTTATTGCAAGATAATTTGTACTACCAAAGAGCATTGTGTTTTTGTTTTTTTTAAAAAGCTATTAGGACAGAAACACCACTCAGACTGGCTTAGTCAATGAAGGAGTTTTATTGCACATATGATAGGGAAGATCAGGAGTGGAATGGGCTTCAAATAAATGAAATAGATGTTCTGATTATGTTGTCAGGACCCTGTCATCATGGCCTAGCTCTGGTTCTTTTCCTGTGGGTCTTCTAATGTAGATGGGCTTTCCTTCAACTGGTAGTGGTGATGGTGGTGGTAGAGGGAACCTTTAGAGGAGGAAGACTTAGTGACTGCTTCAGAATTATGTTATTCCAAAGGGAAGTGAGAAAACTCTCCCAGAGGCCTTCCACTCTGAGCCCTGTAAGCCATTTGTTCTTCGTTAAGTTAACTCTTTCCTGCATAGCCTTTATCACAGATGATCTCCTTTATTTGTGCACCTGATTGGTTTTCCTCTCCATCAGAAGCAGGACTGGTTCCTGTTTGGTCAATCATGTAGCCTAGCCAGCACTCTGCAAATAGTAAGCCAACAAATATATGGAATTCCAGGGAAGGACTCAGATCCTGCTCAAGCCGCCTGTCATTATGTGGTCTGGAGGGCAGGGAACTGTGATTGATAGACCTACCAGAACCTCATGGAATAGGGGAAGGATGGTTTCGCACAGGAATTTTTTTTCACATAGCTAAAAAAATCAGGGAAAGATGCTGAGCAAACAACAACAACAAAAATATATATCTGCCATTTGTGTTTTATGTTCTGTAAGCATGGTTTAATACGTCACCCAACTGCCCAGTGTGCCGTGTAAGATTATGCATGTTCTGCAGTACATGAGGGTGCTTGGCTGAGGGGATGGAGTGGGGCTGAAATGCAGTCCAGGGCTCCGCTCGCGAGCTTCCTTTTTCTGGGAGGCACTGTGTTTTTGAGTTTACACAAAGGATGTGTATGGTCTCTGTGCACAATGGCCATGGTAGAGTATCTGTCTCTCTGTCTAACCGGAATAGCTTGTACTGAAGTAAGAGTACTAGGGGCAAAGTATGAACGGGACCCGTGTCTCTGCATCTGGATCCTGCTGCCAACTCACTGTAGACTCCGTGCTTACTTACCCCTGTTCTGCGTATATTCTCAGAGGGATGACTTGTCTTGGGAAATTCCTCTTTTTCTTTCTTCCCTACCCTCCATTTTTCTGTTTGTTGGCCAAGTTTCCTAAGAACGCATTTTGAGCTTTCTGAATTTTAGGGTGACTGAATAGCGATACGGGTGCTGTCACGTTTCTTTCTGGTTTATCTGCATTTCTCTGCATGTCCATTTTNGAGCTTTCTGAATTTTAGGGTGACTGAATAGCGATACGGGTGCTGTCACGCTTCTTTCTGGTTTATCTACATTTCTCTGCATGTCCATTTTGGATCAACCTAAGAATTCTTGAAGAAGGAACTGCCTCCATCCATCACTTGCCCTTCAGTGGAATAGATTTGTCTGAAAGCTCAATCGCTTTGAGNCCTCCATCCATCACTTGCCCTTCAGTGGAATAGATTTGTCTGAAAGCTCAGTCGCTTTGAGGTTTGTTTTATATTTTGTATGATTAAAGATGTCTTTGAGGCAGAGAAATGCTCTATTTAAAAAGAGATGAGTGGGTTGAAGGAAAAGACACTCAATCAGACTCATTTTGGGCGGCCGGGAATCTCCTAAGTTCCAGACATACAGCTGAGCCTCTCATTACGTGGAAGGTTCTCTGGCAGCTCACTAGCCTTATTTATCTCTCTTTCTGGGACTGCTTAGTTTCTTCTCTGCTTCCCCCGGACATTGTTTCCGTTCATCTGATTTTCTTTAAACACTGACTTACTCTGTATACATACCAATCTGCAGGCGGCCAAAATTGGCAACTGGTACTTAACCTGCTCATTGGATTCTCGGTGCAAGCCCACAGGAAGTCTGCAGCATCATCACTTGGGGAGCTTAAAGGAAAAGATTTATAGGTCTCAGACAGATATTCTGAGTCAGTGGGTGTGCGGTCCTAGATCCTGTGTTTGGGCAGTGTTCCCTAGCAGGAATATCCAGACCCCTCCATCATCACAAGCGGGATAGAAGGCAGATGTGTGACAATGACATAGAGGAGCTCGCCTTAGCATCCACTTGTCCCCGACGTAGCCCCTCTTCTTTTTCTCTCTGCCGTTCCATGTTAGAGATCCCCCTATCCGAGACGAGATGGATATTCTAAGGCATCGAAAACAAATATTTAAGGATATAATAATTTTCATTAAAAGCAGCAGCCCTGGCAACAACAGTTCCTAGTCTAGCTGGCGGGTGGGCAGTCCGTCTAGGCCTTGGGGCCCTCTGTCCATTGTCCAGTCAGCACCGCTTCCTGAGAAACACCGCAGGCCTTGAGACCCATTGTGATGGATAGCATCGCAGGCACGCGTAGCTATGGCAGCAGCTGTTCAAATAGGCTACCTGGGCGGGGGGCATGATCTTGCAGCTTCAGTGCCCGTCACTCTGGAACTAGCTATGTAGTATGTATGTGTCTGTGTCTCTTAGTTCGGAGTCTTCAGAGAGCCTGGTCACTGGCCAGCCAGCCAGGGGCCTACTCTGGAATCGTGGATCCGAGCAGACGTTGAGAAGGGTACCCTNAACTAGCTATGTAGTATGTATGTGTCTGTGTCTCTTAGTTCGGAGTCTTCAGAGAGCCTGGTCACTGGCCAGCCAGCCAGGGGCCTACTCTGGAATCGTGGATCCGAGCAGACGTTGAGAAGGGTATTGAGTGGTCAGTGCGTTACAAGCTTTCCTTTGGTTGGCTTGCACAGTAGAGGGTTAAGTGAGTATTTGTAATCCCTTTTCACTTTGGTTATTTCCTAGATAACGGAGGGATTATATTACTAAATCAATTGTAACGAATTTTTTTTATGTCAGAACTACAAATATGACTCCGATTTAATTTTATATGTGAAATAAATGCCCCGTGCAGTATTAAGATATTTAACACATGTTTTTATGGCAGACGTTATCATTGTCTCTTCATAATTTAATAACAAAATATCTATTAAGATATAAATAAAGTAACATGGTTTATTATGTAATGTGCTTAAAATATAATATACTTCTTGTAGCAGTTTGATTCTGAGACCTCTCTATAGTAATGGAAGCTATCACTTTAAGAAATTTGTCTACTGTAGAACCTCAGAGACTTGAAGACTTTACATAGGTATTAATTACATAAAATATGCAAAGATAAGAACAACTTAAAACCAAGATTGAGCACAAAAAGTAGCTCTGGTACTATATTTCTGCGTACAAAGCAGTTGTATAGCACAAAGCAGTTACGTGTTAAGCCCGTGAAGTATAGTGTTAGTGTCTTAGGGTTTAAGAACATATGTCTTTTATATCTTTAACTATGAAAATCTTAAGTATCAAGATAGTTCATCTGATTTTTAAAAATTATTTTTTTTCTTTTCCAGATCCCATCCCTGTGTGGAACTTCTGAACATCTTTTATTAGTGGAAACGTCATTTTCTACAGAATGAATTCAGCATCTTAATTTAAACCAGCGTTCGTGTGGTTTGGATCCATCTGCTATGGTTCATGAAGCCTCAGATCTAAGGAGCACAGGGTCTTTTGCGATGACAATATGACTAATAGTAAAGGAAAATCTGTTACTAATAAAACAAGTGGTGGTCCAAGTGGTGGAGGAGGTTTTGTGGACTGGACTTTAAGGTTAAATACAATTCAATCTGATAAGTTTTTAAACTTACTGTTGAGCATGGTTCCAGTAGTTTACCAGAAACCCCAGGAAGACAGGCACAAGAAGGCGAACGGCGTCTGGCAGGACGGATTGTCGCCCGCAGCACAGACTTTTAGTACTAGGCCAGAGCAACACGGGGAATACCACAGCTTCCCCGAGCAGCCTTTCCACGGCAATAACGGGCACACGCCTTCGAGCTTTAGCCAAAAGTACGACGACTATGCCAACTACAATTACTGTGATGGAGGGGAGACTTCAGAAACGACTGCCATGTTACAGGCCGAAGACAGATCCGGCGACGGTGACGAAGACGTCATTGTGGAAGCAAACCAGAAATTACCGAAGGAGTCCAGCGGGGTCATGGCACTGCAGATCCTGGTGCCTTTTTTGCTAGCTGGTTTTGGAACAGTTTCTGCCGGCATGGTTTTGGATATCGTCCAGGTGGGTTTTCATCTTTCACTTAACCGTCTTTGTTGTTCAAAGTGCTTTATGTAAGGTTATGCATCTCAGACTTTAGATTTAAAATGAACTGATGCCGATTCTGGTAGAGAATTTGTTCTATGTAGGTGTTTTCTTGTTTGTTTTATTTTCGAAGTTCTGAGAAAATGGTCTCATTCTGGCCATAAAGTAAGTCTTCATAAAGTATCACAGTAATAAAGCTACCCCCAAATGGGTTCAAACAATATAGAGTGTTAAATAAAAGGTAAAAAGTCTTCCCTATTCCTGATCTTCAGACCAAACTCNACTGATGCCGATTCTGGTAGAGAATTTGTTCTATGTAGGTGTTTTCTTGTTTGTTTTATTTTCGAAGTTCTAAGAAAATGGTCTCATTCTGGCCATAAAGTAAGTCTTCATAAAGTATCACAGTAATAAAGCTACCCCCAAATGGGTTCAAACAATATAGAGTGTTAAATAAAAGGTAAAAAGTCTTCCCTATTCCTGATCTTCACCTCCTGAGGTTACCTTGGTAGGAGTTTGTTGTATATGCTTGCAGTTTTCTATGCATATGAATATACATTTGTAGAGAGGTGTTTTTTGTTTTTGTTTTTTTTTTCAGAAATAAAAAGGAAATACTATATATAATTTTCTGCAGTGTATCATCATTGCTTAATAATACATCTTGGACATCTTTCCAAAGTAGTAACAAAGATATTCTGCATTTTAAAATGAGTGCTTGATGTTCCATTGTATGTATAGACCAGAATTTATTATTCATTCCCCTGTGCTGGTGCTGCCATAGATACCCTTTTAAATATATCTTCATACTCTCATACTAATATTTTCATCTGATTTTTAAAAAACTGGTATTAGGGTAGGTGTATGCGTTTAAAATTTTATAGGTACTTATTTCTTGATACTGTTTGAGAGAACAGCACATGTATATTGGAAAAAGTCCCTTTTATGATTTCATGAACTTTAATACCTCTAGCCCTAAGGACTTTATAGTGTGTTGATTTTGTATCTAGCAAGTTGCTGAAATCACTTTTTTTTGTTTGTTTTTTAATCTTCACCTGAGGATATTTTTTTCTTGATTTTTTTTAGAAAGTGGAAGGGAGGGAGGGAGAAGGTGGAGGGGAGAGAGAGAAAGAGAGAAACGTCGATATGAGAGAGGCACATTGATTGGTTGTCTCCAGCTGCGGGGCCAGGGATCGAACCTGCAACCCAAGTATGTGCCCTTGACAGGGAATTGAAGCCACACCGGCCAGGGCTAAAATCACTTATTAATGTTAATAATTTATCTGTAAATTCTTTTGGAATTCCTTCATCATAACCCTATCATCTGTGAATAATGACAGTTTTACCTCTTTCTAAATCTTATACATTTTAATTCTTTTTCTTGCCATTCTGTACTGGCTAGGACTTCCAAAGTAGTATAGAATAGAAGTGGCAGAGCAGACGACCTCGTCCTGTTCCAGATTAGAGAGTAGGCTTTCAGGGGTTCCCCATGAAGCATGGGGTTGGCTGTTGATTTGTGTAATATTCTTTATGAGATTAAGGAGGTTTCATTTTTTGGTTTGCTATGGTTTCTTTTCTTAAAATTGTGACTGGATGTTGAATTTTATCAAGTGTTTTTTCTGTGTTTATCAATAAGATTATATGATTTTTCTTCTTTATTTGTTGCTGTGTTGAATTATATTGACTAAACCATCCTTATATTTCTGGGATAAATGTAACGTGGTCATGATTCATTGTTCCTTTTATAAAATTCTGATGGTTAATATTCTGTTTAGAATTTTTGCATCTATGTTCATATAAAAGATTAGCTTATAATTGTCCTCATAATGTCACTGGCAGATTTCATATTTAGGTAGTGCTAGTCTCATAAATGAATTTTAAAATGTTCTATTTTCTCCTCCTATCCTTTTTTAAGTTTTATGTAACTGACATTATTTTTTCCTTAAGTATTTGGTAAAATTCCCTAATGAAGGTATCTGGGCCTGCAGTTCTTTTTATGGGATTTTTTTTTTAATATATCTTTATTGATTTCAGAGAGAGGAAAGGAGAGGGAGAGAGAGAGATAGAAACATCGATGATGAGAGAGTCACTGATTGGCTGCCTCTTGCACGCCCCTTACTGGGGATCGAGCCCACAACCCGGGCATGTGCCCTGACTGGGAATTGAACCCCGATCACCTGGATCCTCGGTTGACACTCAACCTCTGAGCCATGCCTGGCCGGGCTTTGTGGGAATATTTTTAATTACAGCTTGAGTTTCTTTAAAAGTCACTGGGCTAATAAAATTTTCTATTTCTTTTTGTGTTACTTTTGTTAAGTTTTTTGTTTTATTTTAACCATTACATCCCTAGCAGTGTATCTAGCAGTGGTTTAAACAACAGACCTTTATTCTGTCAGTTCTGGAGGCTGGGAAGTCCAAGACCGAGGTGCCTGCCTATTCAGTTCCTGGTGAGAGCTCTCTTCCAGGCTTGCAGATGGCTCTCTTCTCCATATGTCCTCGCATGGTGGAGAGAAAGAGCTGTGGTGCCTTTTACACTTCTTGTAAGGGCACTAGCCGGTTGGATTAGGGCCCCACCCTTATGACCTTGGTTAACCTTCATCACCTCCTCACAGGCCCTTTCTTCAAATACAGGTCTTATAGGTTTGTTGTGAAGATTAAATGAGTAAGCCTAGAGAACAGTGCCTGGCACATAGTAAGCAATCAGTGAATGTTGATTATTAATATTTATTATTATTATTATGTGTTCTTATTTTTCATTGTTGTCATCATCATTACCACCATCACACCATCATCTCTGAAGGACGCATATTATCACTAGTACAGCAGAATTCCTAACCCAACATGAAACGTGGACAAAAAACATGTTTGTTAGTTTTCTGACAGTTTAAGGAATCTAGGATGCTACTGGAATTCCAGTGCCATTTTAGGCCCATCTTTTATATATATATATACTAGAAATTATTTTCAATTTTATTTGCAAGGGAGGGCTTCCCTTACGAATCCTTTGAACCAGGATTTTACCAAAGAATGATCTGATAAACATTTCCTAAACTCTCTTTAGGCCCTAGTTCTACACCTATTTGGAACAACCTCTAGGGAAACTTTGGGGACAAATTGAATTTTTCTTTCATCTGATGGATTTAAATTTTACTTTTCTCATCTGTCTTGGTAGTAATGATGGCTGTGTTCTTGATTTTTTTTTTGGCATAAATTAATATGCTTAGTTTATAAAGCCTCTTACTAAGATAATTGCCTCTTAGTAGCATTTGTAAAATAGCACTTTGTGTTACTAAGTGATTTGTATGGTCTTTTCAGTTCATAAATTACTTTAATGTTTGTTATTTTCATTATTATGGTATTTCCCAAAGGTCTAGACAGGGCAGATCGTATCTTCATTTCATAGATGAAGAAACTGAGATCAGAAAGATACATAACTCATCTGGGATCGTGCAGTCAGGTTATGAAAGATCCAGTCCTAGAATCACATATTTTCTAATTTCCAATTTATTGCTCTTTTTATGATCTTATGCTCTGCAACCTTTTGCCTCAAACCCTAAAATTGGGACCAGAACATGGATGACTCAGAACCCCTGAGGTCAATTCTGGGTCTCATCTTTTGACCTTGGGAAAATCATTTAACTTCTCTGAATCTTTATTTCTTCATTCGTGAAATTAGATAACAATATTAACTGTAATTTTCCTGTGGGGTTGTTGTAAATAGTGTTGGAACCAAGATTCCCACCCATGTCGTCTCGTTCTTGAGTCTGTGCTCTTAACCATGAATTATATTAACTCTTGCCATCATAAAGGGGTAACGTAAACTAAGCGGTAGAGTGTGTAGCAAGCTAGATGTATCTGGGGATGTAGTGACTATCAGTTGTCACTCTCAACTCTCAGGATCTTCTAGAGAAACTCAAGGCTTCAGAGCTCTGGAGAATGGATTTAAGCTGAGTGTTCCCTGATTAAATGACTTGTGTTGTCATTCAAAATGTAAATGCAGCATTGGAAAAAAGGCTGAGATTTTTTGAAATGTCTTTGTTCTAAAATGTTTTTTAAAAAGTGAGAAAATTCTTTTTTTTTTTCTTTTCTTACAGCACTGGGAGGTGTTCAAAAAAGTAACAGAAGTTTTCATTTTAGTTCCTGCACTACTTGGTCTCAAAGGGAACTTGGAAATGACATTGGCATCTAGGTTGTCCACTGCAGTAAGTTTTCTCCTACCTCAAAGTCTGTACGTTCTCTGTGCTGTTTCTGTTATGGTGAATGTGTATCCGGAAACATTTTTTTCCTGTCTTTCTGACAAATTTCTGGACCTTAGTGCTATGCTGAGTATTTCTGCCTGATATGATACCCTGGGAGTCCTCTGGGTTGTCTGATCTGGAAATTATAGGCCTTCCTTTTCCCTGAGAAGTAGTAGTGTACTTGCCTCCTTTAATTCCACGGCATCTGGCAGGTATCATCAGTGCTCAAGACATGGGACAAGTCAGATATTGAGATTCTTTATGATTCGGTGGATGATTCATATTTAAACTTGTTGTGATTATAAAAGTAATACATGTTTATTGTAAAAACTAAAGAAAAGGGACAAAATACAAAGAAGAAAACTTAAAACTACTCCAAATTCTTCACCTGCACATAATCACTGTTAGTGTTTTGGTATAGAGCCTTCTATACATTTATATATGGGTATGTCACAGTGCAGATGCATACTGTATGTTCTAAAAGAGAATTAGAATCCTACAAATTCTTTTTTATAATCCATGATATCCATTTGAAGATAGATAAGATACATCATGATCATCTTTCCATGTCAATAACTGTAGACCAATACCATTATTTTATAGACTGTGTACTTTTCTGGAATATAGCTCTTCCACAGTTTAACCCATTGTCCATTATTGGATAGATAGGCTCTTTATAATGTTTATTATAAACGATGTTGTAATGAATATTCTTATGTATACGCTTTTGCATTCCTATTTCTTTTGGGCAGATTGTAGGACTATGATTACCATTCAGAAAAAAATGCATACTTTTAAGGCCTTAGATACATATTTCAATGTAGTCATCTACAAAGGTTGAACATTTTTGAAAATACTGCCATTAGCTGGGTCCTGAGTCATTTTTAGAAGCTGAAAAGGACGTTATTTTATCACTACAACATTCCTTGGGTGTTCACCATTGTGGGACCAGGTAATGGTTAGAAGCATGTAGTTAGTTCCATTGCCGCCCCCCTCCCCAACAAACACACACACACAAAAGTTAATTGAAAAAGTCACAGAAGTAGAAGTAAGCCATAGAAGAAGTGGGCCAGGAAACAAGTTAGGCAAAAGAAGGGCCTCTGGAGCTTAGAAGAAAGGCAAAGGAAAAGGCCTGGGGAAAGGAGTGGGTGAAGGCTCCAGAGAGAGCGCAGTGGTCAGGTTATCCCTTTGATGAGCCATCTGCCCATTGAATGTCAGTCAGAAAAATTAACTAAGCCATCAGAGGATATTACTAATGGCAGTGCCTTTTATATGTATTTTTTTCTTTAAAGAAGCTACAGCAAATGAATCTGTCTATGAACTAGGAAAAATTATTGTGTATTTAAAGGCAACCAAGATGTGGAAGCTCAACAGTTTTGATGCTAATGGGAGCAGTCTCCCCCTCCTCCCATCTCCCCATTTTCCCCCCAGGCAACTCTGAGCTCCCTAAGGTTTCTTGAGTAAAACCATGCTTGGAAAGGAAATGCATTAAGTAATGTTTTATTAACATTATTGGCTTGCTCAGTTAGGAGGAAATGCTACATGTGCCTTATGGCACTTTCTAAGCCCCATCCTTATATATAAAAAGTCATGTAGCCATACTCTGCCCAGGATGATAATGAAATATTGGGTATTAGAGAGTGCCCAGAATGTGCCGGGTCTGTGCTAGCTGCTTTACAAGGATATCTTACAACAACCCTGTGAAATAAGCCCTGTTATTCCTGGTCTACAGAGAAGGAACTGAGGCTTAGAACAGTTGAGTAACTTTCCTGAGCTAGTACATAATGGAATAGGCCACATTCCAGAACAATCCCTTTTACCTGCACAGGACACCCGTGTCAAAGTTTATAAAACCAGTCAATAATAGCAGTAACAAAGACCTAAGAGCCTCCTCTGCATTGTAGGGGTGCTTTCCTGAGGCCTTGGTCTTAGCACCCATACACAATATTTTTGGTACTTGGTATTTAAAATATTTTGACATTCATAATTTTAAAAATGACTATTTATGGATATAATCCTCTCGCTTATCTCTATAGGTTGATGAGCTAGCGATGATGTTGGGAGATATCAGCTAGTCATTAAGGTGGAGCCAGACCTCATAGACTAGATTTACTTGGCTAAATTCACTTTAGTCTAGCCTATAATTTTGCATATAATCATTGTAATTGTTGTAATCACACACCTTGGTTTGGGCATGCACCCAACTGGGTGACATGGTCTGCCTCCAGGATTGACTTCTGGAAGAGGCCCTGGCATTGGACTCCAGGCCATTTGGTCAGGGAATTCTGTGGTCCCAGGTATCTGGAGCACGGCCTAGAAGGGGTTGAGGTACAGTTTGAAAGTGGACACATCACTTGGGCCCTATGCACCCCTCACCCTGTGTGGTGGGGCAGAGCCAAAGTAGGGCCAAACTGGGGCTTTCTAAGCCATGGGTCTCAGAGACAGGGCCTCTCTTATCCGAGTTAGAGTACTACTGATTCTAGATTCTGGGAGTGAAGGAATTCTCTAAGAAAAATTACATGACATAGAAGAGCTTTTGACCCTGCCTTGTGATGTACTTCTGCAAGATATTAAAATAAGATGGAGAGAAGATATATATTAAAAAGGGCTGCTTGAACAAAATAGTCTTAATATTGTAGTCTGAAGGTAACAATAATAGGACTTATTAATAATATACCTGTGGCTGCTTACAGAGAATGCATTTTTTTTTAACTAGAACTTTCTTAAGTAGCCAAACAGATAGATGTACCTTGAAACATACAAGTATTTTTTACATGGTATCTGCTATAGAAGTCCTGTCATTCTACTCTTGGGAAGGTACTAAAATTGGTATGAATGCAACAAAAGCTGAAATTTAGATGGAAATTCTGTGTGTGTGTGTGTGTGTGTGTGTGTGTGTGTGTGTGTCTTGGAAGCCAGTTATATCGCTCCATTACACTTGTAGATTCAAAGTTTAAAAGATGAGTTTTTCTCAGGTGCTCATGTGAAGCAGTATGTGTAAAAATATTAAAATAAATTTAAAAATATAAATTAGGGCAACAATCTTAGACTCATCTGAAAATATTTAGAAAGCACCATCATCAAGCAATGTGCAAAGGCTTAGTTTATGAAATTATTTCAATGAAACTGCATCATCACTATCAACCAAATCTTCAAGCCTAGGAATTAAAGAGGAGATAAGTCTTTTATCAAATATTACGTGAGAGAAAATGAAGCCTAATAATTTGGTAACACCATCATTCTCAGCAGTATCTAGATTGGCAAAACTAGCTCCAGACAGTCTTGATTCACTAATGACTTCATTTGAAAGTGAGCATCTATATAGTATCGAAAATATGAAGTCAGGTGACCACAGGATCAATCTAGCAGATCTCAGTGCTAAGAAATTATTTCTAGAAAATTTAATAATAAAATGGTAATACAATTTTAAAAATTTGGTTAAATTTCATATTTTTCTAGTATCCCAGAAACTCATTATATATGGTAACGTTTGGTGTCACTGAATATTGATTCGAATACTTGGCCGTTTGGCATCTGGCTGGAATGTTCTTCCACTATACCTTTAGCTTTTGTCTTAAACAAAACAAAACTGTTCTTTAGTTTTACTAATGTTTTCAGAGTTAATTATATATATATATGTATTCTATCTGTCATATGCATTATGTTTTGTGTTTTTTTAAATGTTATTTACTTATTTTTAGAGGGAGAGGAAGGGGAGGGAGAAAAAGAGAGAGAGAAACATCAATTTGCTGTTCCACTTATTTATACATTCCTTGGTTGATTCTTATATGTGCCCTGACGGGGGTTCAAACCCACAACCTCGGCATATCAGGGCGACACTCTAACCAACTGAGCTACCCGGCCAGAGCAATATACATGCGTTATGTTTTAAGTACTGGTAGATCACCTAGGTAGAACCCGATCCAAGAGGCTTTTTGGCAGGAGAGGTCTTGAAAAACAAAAGCAGCAACATTTAAGGGAGAAGGTTATTAGAATAAGAGTTAAAAGGTGGCTTTAGTTTGATTTTGTTGGAAAATGAACTTTGTTCTGATAAATATAGTTAAGCATTGCAAGCATTAAGCAACTTGATAACTTTGCCAGGAAAACTGAAATTTTGGCTAGCTTATCTCAAAGAAAACATATCTAAAATTGAATCACATTCCCATTAAAATGGAATAAAGGTGGATTTACTCTTTTATATTTGAGCTCTAGTTGTTTTGGCATATATAGTTTATATTAGATGTTTTCCTCAAATGTCTGGTCATGTTTGCTTGTCTGTTCATATTAATCCTTACCTGAGGATATGTTTTATGTATAAAGGTATTATTAACTTGAATAATTTTCCTGGATTTTTATCTTTTCAATAGTAGATATATATTATAGTAGATACTGTTACAGATACATAATAGTAGTACGTAATTGGAAAATAAGCCAAGTACAGTGGTATTCTGTATGTTGCTGGGTTTAAGTTCTGTTACCTGAGACCTAAATTTTCTACTTCTAAATGCTAGACATAAAAGAGTCAAAATGGTATCCACTGTCCTAAAAATAGTATCTTTTTAAAAAGCCTGTAAAACTATTTCCCAGAAGCAAATTGCCAAACACAATTCGATGAGCACTTTTCCACTGTAGGCAAAATTGATTTCTGTTGCCTCGAACCTCTTCTCAGAGAACTCCTGATTCTCTGGAATTATTTTGTAACATTCTACCTTTTAAATTCGTTAATTTAAAAACTATTTTTGAGTCCTAACTATATGCCCAGCACTGCTCTGTGCTAGGTTATCCGCAACAAACAAAACAGAAATTGTTCCTGCCTTCGCTGAGCTTACATTTCAGTGGAGGGATGTGAAGAAGTTGGCAAAACCTCTATCCTTAAGTTAGACTTTCAATTCAAATTGTAGCTCAATAAAGAAAAATTAAAGTTCCAAATAACAGTTTTAATAATTCAGATTTCCAGGCTTAGGAAAAGAAGTATACAAATGAAGACAGCATGAATAATTTTTCCAAAACACTGAGAAACATTAATATTTGCATTTGCTGGATACTTTGAGACTACGGTCCAGAGTGAAGTTGGAGAACAGGACCTGCTTTCTAGATTGATACAGGAAATGTTGATGCCGCACTTAACCTCGTGGCCTGAGGCCAGTGAGCTAAACCCCAGTTTGACCATAGTTAACACTACCCATAAATAATAACCCTTATGTACAGGGTGTCCCCAAAAAACGTATACACTTTAACAGCTGATAACTCAATTTCGAAAATGAAATGTATTTTAATAAACACTGCCTTTATAATTTTCAGGGTGTATGTATACATTTTTGGGGGACATCTATATTTTCCACTTTACCCATTCACCTGTCTTCCATGAACAAGCAAATATGAATAATTGAAACCTGGCTCAGTATTGTATTTTTAATAATGATTGCTCCATTTGTTTCCCAAAATACTGCATTAGAAAAACTTGTCCGATTTGGATATACATTTTTTGAAGCCTTAGTGGTTGAGGAGTATGATTTGGCTTATCGCATAATTAAATATGTGAATAATAATATTTTTGGAGTGTATTCTTCCATTTAGCAGAAAGATGTATAAACTTTAATTCTGAGCTACATGACCAAAATCATATTGAACTGAACAAATTTTTATTAACGGTTAGTCATGACTCAAATATAAATTATGTACGTATACATGATTTGTTTATGTCTGGGTTTTTTGGTCAATTCCTCAAATTACATTAATTTCATGATGTAGAATTAGATGCTAGCAGCTCAAAATTATGTATTTATACTAGGCTGAAATACACAAAATTTGTCATGTTAGGATGCAGTTGATGGTGTTTGTAAAATAACTGGGCAGTTGGGTAGTACTAGCTATACTAGTTCTTGTGAGCTAGTAATTAAGCAAAAAAAATGTCTTACACAGTTCAGGCAAGCTGAATGTCATACGTAAAACTAGTAGTGAATTCAGAATTATATTTGGAGTGCAGTGTGAGCTTATCAGATTTACTAAAGAATTATCTTTGGCTTTAAGACTTCACAGGCTATTTAAACAGAATAGAGCACATATAGATTATTCAGTGACACATGAAAATATCCACCTTAACAGGTAAATATTGGGAAGATGGATTCACCCATTGAAAAGTGGAACCTAATAATTGGCAACTTGGCTTTAAAACAGGTAAGTGATACACATATATGTTTATAGATCTTGAGTGTTATCTCTAAGAATGTAATAAATTTTAGTTAAAGCTACCATTTAATTGTTTCAAGGGACCCAAAACGATAATTTAGTACTGTGAGAAAGATATAGAATAATATCCATGATTTTACAAGTTTTTTCTCTCTAGAAATTGATCGTGTTCTTCTAAATATGAGAAATATATCATATACAAATATAGGTAAATATACAAAATATTTTCTCTCATAAGTGTAGTAGAGCCCGAATTTGAGTTAATACCCATACAAATAAATATTTAGCACTTCATTGCTTAGGTGCTATTTTTCTACTTTGATTTTTTTTACAGAAATCCTCTTATTTAATAATTAAACTTAGTTCTTTTTATATAGTATGATCAGATGTTTGTTTAAGCTGAATTTTCCTTGTCAATGTTAATTAGTGCTGATGTAAATGAGCACATTAAATTGTCAATTACATATACACTAAACCATGAATTATATATAAATTATCTACAGTTCTTCAATCTCAGGAGAATCACTCTTCCTCTGCCACCACCTTCTTGTATCTCCAGAGACACAAGAATGCAGCCCCCTAGTAACTAGCAAGTGTGAGCTTAGGAAATGCTTACTTATTTTAATAATAGGTCAACTGGGACATAATGTTGAAAACATGGTTGCAGAAAAGTAATTCAAATTCGTATTTCAAAGGCAAAGAAAGGAATTTTTAGACAGTAGAGTTAAAAAAAAATCCCTGCAACTACGAAGATCACAGGCTGGAGATAAGAAAATCTGGCATCTACTCTTTAATTTCAGCCCTAACTTTAACCAGCTATATAACCTTTGTTAACTCACTTAACCTTTCTGGACTTCATTTCCTCTTCTTTTAAGTTGCAGTATTGCATTAGCAATGTCTGTGGTCCTTTTCAGCTCAAAACTAGAAATCCATGCAGGGATGATATTCAGAATACACACCAACCACCACTAGACTACTAATGTATAGTATACATTCATCTACAAATAAAAATTTGAAAATAAGTTTTTTATTTTTTAAATATCCTGAACTCTTACCAAATAGTATGAGTTGTAGTATAAATTATTCATCAAATCAGTCTAATCCCATCTTAGCTTTTAATTTTTCCTTCCACTCAGTCTGAGTTCCTTGTCCGCCTCTCTTCCTGCAACTGGTGGTCAGGATGGGAGCCAGAGATGTCTGGGGACTCACTGGTCCTGGTTGCCGTGGCCTGAAGCCTGTGTCTGTCTGTCTCACTCCACCAAGGATGTATGAGAAACAGGGAGCCCCACACAGGCTCCCCAGGACACAGTTGGTGCCAGCCAGTGAGGCAGCAGCTGGTGGGAGCCCAGGTACCTGCGGAGAGAAGCAGAAGAGAGGAGAGGAGGTCAGGTGGGGGGGCTGTGCTCTCTCCGAGGCTTTATCTGCTAAAGCCTGTGAAGGAGATGAGCGGGGGAAGGGAAAGGGCTGGGCTCACCGACTGGCTACGAGGCAGGGGAGGCTGGAAAGGCCAGAGCAGGTACATGCTCTCATCAGCTTTCCTAACTGCTTACTGGGATCCCAAGCAGATTACGTGTTAACAGGTTTCTTAACAGTGGTACAGGGTGGCCGCCTTGACCACCCTGTACCAAATTGCGGAATAAAGCAAAGTTCGCAGTCCCATTGAAGGGCCCTTACCTCACCAGGAGGGATGTGCCTTGCATTCAGTCTAGTTAGGCCTGTGGCCTCCATTCACCTCCCCAGCTACTCCTGGAACCCAAATTTAGCTCTTCTCTTGGGTACAGTTAGGCATTTCTTTTGCAGATTTACGGACTAGGACTTTCTCATCTCAGCTGTGGGCTTCCATTTCTCTATCTATCTATCATCTATCTATCTATCTATCTATCTATCTATCTATCTATCTATCTATCTATCTATCTATCATCTATCTATCTATCATCATCATCTATCTATCTATCATCTATCATCTATCATCTATCTATCTAATCTATCTAATCTATCTAATCTATCTACATATGCATATGCCAGCAAGTCTGCCATAGGCTCCCTAGCTCTGTATTTTATTTCCATGAAAAACCTTGGAATCACAGTGCTAGAATTAACATTAGGAATTGATTTTACTGCTTTTACATATTATTAACTCACCAGTGTGAAATGCTGACCTATTTTAACAGCTGGTGCAGCCATAATGATGCTGACCACTTGCATCTCAGCTCTGAATCTGTGGGTGACATGAACAGGAGGAGCTGATGGGAGATCATGGGGCTGGAATCTAGGCTACCTGGACATGCTAGCCCTGGCTCTTCTGTTAATTTACTGTATGACAGGATTAGACTTTTTTTTTAACCTATAGCCCTGGATTCCAGTACATGGATTAGCTTTGGAGGTTCCGTGAGCACCCAGAAATACTACTCAAAATGCTGAATTGCTATAAAATTTTCGCCAGATTGTCAGGAGTCCATGACACAAAGACTGTTAAGAATCAGTAAACCAGATGATTCCTTAAGGGTTTCTTTTAGTTCTGACATTCTACTAATACAATTCTAAGAGTTCCCAGTCACTTTTTTCAGTTACTGTTTTTCTCTGTGTTTTTTTGAGTGTTGCTTAGTGCCACCACTGTGGGGAGCACTTTGTATATTAATGTAATTCATTTAAATCTCAAATAACCCTTTCAGGTTCAATATTATTGTCATTCTTCAGACTAGGAGCTAAAGATTTTATAACATTAATAATGATTGGATTATATGTAAGGTTATTGTTTAATGTCTGTCTCTCCCACCGACCAAGAGCTCTGTGAGAACAGGGATTAAACCTGTTTTGACCACTGTTATAGCCCAACACCAAGCATTGTGCCTGGTACATAACAGATGCTAAATTAATAGTTCTTGAATACCTGAATATGAATAATTTGCCACAAGATTAAGTGATATAGCCAGGAGGCAAACTCTTATCATTGTATTATAAAATCCAGTCTTGCCAACACTACCCCTAGCGTCAGACTTCAATTTTGTGGGTTGTGTACTTTTCAGCCCTAAGGTTGGTATTTTCTTAGATGATCTGTGGATTACATCATCAAAGTCACTTGAGGTGCTTGTTAAAAACATTCCTGGACCTGTTGCCACCAGATCTGAACAGTTTGAGAACCCACTGCCTTAGGGAATATTAAAACTAAAACATAGTAGTAGCTTCTCTAAAAGGTAAGACAGCTCAATTGCTAATAGCAGTACTTTCTTATGACTTCTTATGTGCATATTTATATAATCAGACTTAAAAGTGTGTTTTTGAAATGAATAATTCTTTTGGATTTTATGAAAAATTTTTTTAGGTTCAAGCAACAGTAGTTGGTTTTCTAGCAGCTGTGGCGGCAGTTATATTAGGCTGGATTCCAGAGGGAAAATACTACCTTGACCATTCCATACTTTTGTGCTCTAGCAGCGTAGCAACTGCCTTCATTGCATCTCTTCTGCAGGGTAAGTAAATTTACAAACGTCTACTCTTACAGTCTTTTACTTTCACTTCCTAAGATTATGCCTATTTTTATTTAAATGATACATGTTCATAATTTTTAAGAAAATCAAAAAATTATCTATAAACTTTTAAAATGTCTTATTTCAGATATATTTGTATTTATTGTATGTAAACCTGATGTAGAACAGGCTTTCTGAGTCGTCTCCTGGCCTTAGGTGCCCTGGCACAATTCCCAGACAAGATTAGGAAAATAACTTAGTTATTCATTTATTTCTGTTAAGTTAATTTAACTGAGAAACTCCTTTCCGGAAATCATGCTGAGGGTTTTACTGGCTTGTCAGTTGAGTAATAAGGATTCCAAGAATCCTGAGTTCCAAAAGCAGTCTCTCTATTGAAATTTCTTCAAGTTTCAGATTTCAAAGAAAACTCTGCACTATCACTGTGGCAATACAAACATAACCATAAGCTTAACATAGTAGATTATTGACTGTGGAATTTGAAAGAACTGGAAGTTGTAAAAAATTAACTACATTAGATAGTTTCAGATGGGCTATCATTTAAAAATATTTATTTATTAACATGAACTTTACACTAGATAACTAGATTATTATGGAGTCGTAATCATAAAGACTTGGTTCTTTTTATTTTATAATCGCCATCTTCTCATCCTCACGTCACCAGCAAAGTTAAAAATAGAAGATTCTCACGTCAGGCGATCATATAATGAAGCTGACTTTTTGGCTAGGTTCTTTCCCAGAATTTAGAGAATTTAATTATCATTAAGACTTAACTTCTAAAATATTTTCAAGCATTTTGGTTTAGCAATTATATCAGTAGTTTCTTGTCTATACGGTCATGTACTGCTTAATGATACTTTGGTCAGTGATGGGCCACATATACAATGGTGGTCCCATATATTATAATGGAGCTGAAAAGTCCCTGTTACCTAGTGATGTCATAGTCATTGTAATTTCCTAGCAAAATGCATGTCTGCGGTAATGCGGGAGTACACAGACTACTGTGCTGCCAGTCATAAAAGTACAGCACATACAGTTATGTATAGTACATAATACTTAATAAAGATAATACATGACCCTGTTACTGTTTATGTATTTACTATATTATTTATCATTATTTTAGAGCCTGCTCTTTCTACTTATAAAAAAAGTACTGGAAGCTATGCGATGTGTTTCTTAGGCAGCAGTCTCATATATCTCACATTTACCATCAGCTGCATCATTTTCTCTTGTGCTTGATTTGATCTCGGGTTGTGTTTACAGTAACGTGATGTACAGGCTCGCAGCCCAGAAGCGATAGGCTCTCCCGTGTAGCTTAGGTGTGCAGTGGGCTATACTGTCCAGGTTTGTACAAGTACCCTCTGCATGGTGTTCGCACACCAGCAAAACTGCCTCATGGTGCAGTTCTCGGAATGTGTCCCTGTTGTTAGGCGGTGAAGCCTGTGCCTGGAAGTACTAGAATTGAATAGAGTCAACACTGGCCAAAGAAGAGTGAAGTGAAGCTATTAGAAAAATAATTTCTGGTTTAAAAAAATGTTAAAGCATTAGCCCTCTATGTAGGCTCATTCGCTTCTGTTTTCTTTCTAATTTTGTTTCACACGAGAGACTTATTTAAAAATTTTCAGCCTAGCAAGTGTTTGTATTGCCTGGAATTTTCAAAATCATAAAAATTTAGATTTTTATAATACATTTGTTAATGTTTCTTACTTTGAATAATATGTTGTAATTATGATAACTTGACCTTTATAACCACATGATATATGTAGAGCAGATAATATTAACCACCTTTTTAGGTGAGAAAACTGACTCAGGTGAGTTGGCTTGTCTGATTTCATCACCTGTTCCCAGAAAAATCAGAATTAAAACCTATTTCCTGACTCCCAGCTCTTTCCATTGGTCCATGATGGCAGAATATTTTTTTCAGCTGAAATGATGTAGAGGGCATTCTGTCAAAGGACTTTCCATATAGATCTTAAAATGTGCTGATTTTGAAAAAAGAATTCTATATGATCACATCTTGATTGATTATTGCATAAGACATTTAAAAACGTTTTCTGCTGTTGCTTATTTTGTTCTTCATTGGTGTTATGGGAAAGGTAAGAAGTCCATAGATTGAAAAAGCCTCCAGAAGATAAGATATGAGACATTGTTTTGATGCAAGACAGAAATTCTACTTTTAATAATTTTGGCTTTATGGGGTAGTAGAAAAAAACACCTGACCTAGAGTTACTTACAATTTGTGTGACCTTAAGCAAGAATATAAACCCTAGTTTTATTACCTATAAAATGAATTTGCTAGAAGAAAATCATTGAGAGTCATTTCCAATCTGAAAATGCTGTGAGATTCTGATTTTTTTAAAATAGCCATATTTAGGTTTTCATATTGATTTTTGATGAGCACTCCTTTCAATGAGTGTGTTAACAGGAGAAAATCTGTACAATTAGGTGGGGATATAAATGTTACCATTTTTCTCCCATTTCTAAGATTCAGGAAAATAAGGACTTAAAAGGATAAGTACACAGTCACATTGTCATCTCCCGTTTAGTTGTAGGTTCCTAGACAGAAATTTGGGATTGAGAGATTCTCTTTTACAAAGACGGCTCCTGGCCTCATGTTCAGAATTGAATTCCTTCCTCTTAATATTTCAGTACTCTTAAATAATTAAAGAAAGCAAGTATTTCTGGCTACTACTATGTAAACAAATCTGTTTTTATATTGGTTTTCTTCCCAGTTGCTGTGCATCTAAATATGACTTACCTTTCTTTGATATTTTCATGCATTATTTGAGGGTTAAAATAAAATCTTTGGGTTTGATACACATCAATACATTACATCTAAGACATACAAGTTTCTAAATTTGAAACTTTAGCTTTAATGTTATTTTATAGGAGGTTTTCAGGTGTCTAAATGCAACATTGAACTTCTCAGATCTTCTGTGATTCCCTCACTTGGAATTTGTTGAGAGGCGTTTTGCCAGAGCACTAGCGTTGTTTGCGCCGGTGAGCTGCCTACGCAGTCCAACTGGAAGTCACATGCTGTTTGTCTAGCCTGTGTATTTCAGTATTTAGGGGACTGATTGTCTTTAAACTCACAGCATAAAAGTAATGAGCTTTCTTTCTTCTAGGAATAATAATGGTTGGGGTTATCGTTGGTTCGAAGAAGACTGGTATAAATCCTGATAATGTCGCCACACCCATTGCTGCTAGTTTTGGTGACCTTATAACGCTTGCCATATTGGCTTGGATAAGTCAGGGTTTGTACTCCTGTTTCGGTAAGTTGACTTGAAACTAGATAGAACATGTTATTGAGAGTCTCTTTAAGTAAATATTGTTATAGCATTGCCATGATATCTTGTCCCCAGTGTCTGAAATCGCTTCAGAGCCAAAAGGTGAAACAGGTGTCTTATTATTCGTAACAAGCCCCTTTTCATCACAACTGGGTTTATGTTATTGAGGTGAGCACCTAAGGATGGGGGGCAGGTTGCCAGGGGACCCAACCCAGGGTAGAGGGATGGACCTTTCAACCCCATCTCCTGATGTCTGGGGAGGGAAGAGGTGCTGGAGGTCACATCACTCAGCAAAGGCCAATGATTTAATCACTCATGCCTGTGTAATGAGGCCTCCATAAGACCCCAAGGATAGGGTTCGGAGAGCTTCGGGGTTGGTGAACTCATGGAACTTTGGGGAGGGCACGGCAGCTCTGGGCCCTTCCCCACACTGTGCCTGTGCATCTCTGCCATCTGGCTGTTTCTGAGTTATATCCTTTTATTTTTTTATCTTTTTATGATAAACTGGTAATCTAGTAAGTAGAAGGTTTCTCTTGAGTTTTGTGGGCCCCTTTAGCAGGTTAATCACACCCAAGGAGGGGGTTGTGGGAACCTCTGATTTGTAGCCGTTCGACCAGAAGCATGGGTGACGGCCTGGACTTGGACTGACACCTGAAGGTGTATGTGTTGGGTGGGGGCCGGGAGGGTCTTGTGGGAAGGGCGGAGCCCTTAATCTGTGGAATCTGATGCTGCATCTTCCCGTATGTAGTGTCAGAATTGAGTTGAATGGTAGGACGCTTGGTGTCCGAGAATTGCTTGGTGGTGTGGGGACAACCCCCCCAATCACACACTCCCAGAGTGGAATCGGTACTAGAATCATAGCTACTGATTGATTCCACAGCGGATTTAATAGTCAGAGGTTTTTCTGAAGTGTCAGTGTTTGAACTTCTAAAGTATCTGCATTGTGAGCACTAGGGGGCCTCATAAGATAGCAGTTGTAAGCCTAGTATTAGCCGTTCAATTCCGAGACCTGGTTCCTCCTGCTGAGATGGCCAGTTCTTAGAAACAAAGTTTAATTCCTGAACTATGTTAAACACTTAGCAGTTTTTAGAGAGAAAAAGAATTTCATGGCAGCTATAGCTTTGGTTATAAATAGAGGCCGTATGTCTCTCAAAGAACGGGACATTGAGAAAGGCCTCACTTAGAATTTGGGGTATTCAGAAATGAGTTTGAACAGCGTCCCTCATGTCGTTAGCTTTGATACGTGAACTAGGACTCACCTGACATTCACCCAGTGTGCTACCTTTCTTTCAGTCCTGATAAAATTTGCTGATTTGCCCTGGCTAGTTTGGCTGAGTGGTTAGAGCACCAGCCTGTGGACTGAAGGGTCTCGGGTTCGGTTCTGGTCAAGGGCAGGTACCTCGGTTGCAGGCTCGATCCCCGGCCCCCGTCGGGGCACGTGTGGGAGGCAACCAGTTGATGTTTCTCTCACGTTGATGTTTCTCTCTCTCTTTCTCTCTCTCTCTCCACGTCTCCCTTTCACTCTCCCTGAAAAGCAATGGAAAAACTGTCCTCGGGTGAGGATTTAAAAAAAAAAAAATTGCTGATTTCTGATACCTGAAGTAAATATGGATTTCCCTCCTTCTCACCTCTCCAGTTCTAAAAGACAAAGCAAGCCCAAGAGCTTTCTTTACTCCTGTTGACTTTATTTTTTGGAGTCACCCTGAGCAAGTCTTTATTGCTTAATGAACAGAGTTCAGGTTCTGGCCTGGTAATTAGGCCCCGTGGCGTCGTAGAAACTTACCCCCTGGAGGTCTGGCCTGCTCCTCCCTTCTGCGGCCCTTGACTCCAGCCGGACTCGGCCACTTGCTGATTCTCTTACACGCTGTGAGCTTTCTGTTTTCTTTCTTAGGCCGTTCCCCTCCCCTCCATGAAGGCTGCGCAGAAGCTGCACTTTTCAGTATTTTCTCCTCTGAATTCCTATAGCACTTCATCAGTACTTCTCTTAAGACATTCTTTACACTTGGGCAGTCATTAGCTTTTTGTGTAGATGTAGCACCTTCCTTTGTGAGGGTGTAAGCTTCTTGAGGATAAACGTATGTTTTTATTTTATTTGTTTTTGTAGCACCCCATAGTGGATGTTGAAAGCTGCCCAATTAATGTGAGGCGAGGTTGTTCAGGAAGTGGTAGATGCATGGGAAATAGAAGATAGACATCCTTCTGAATGATTTTGTCACAGTGTCTGTCCAATAACATATAACAAAGAAATGGTACTTTTGATGAGTACTTAGTATTAGGGAAATAGCCTAATACTAAGAAAGTTTCTAGAAATTACTATCACTATAGAAAAATTAAAATGGCAACATATGGCGAGAAAAGATCTGTTTCAAATGGAAATAGAAAGTTTAGAGAGTAATCTAAGTTCTGGACTAAGATAAACTTTGGTATGACTTGCAGAGAAATATAAAGGCATTTATTCATTCATATAGTAATCCTTAAGCGTGCAGCAATCTTGAAAAGCGATTAACATGTCCTAAAGTTGGGCCAGTAACTGAAGTACCTGTACACAGTCTTGTCTTCTTGTCTTCATAATTTTAAGAAGATTTAAAAAACTTTTTCAATTATTTATAACTGCATGGCTATATAATTCTTTTGTGTACAAGATCTTTATTGATTTGAAAATTATCAGCTTTTCTCTTTGTGGGCAAATTCTGAGAAGCAAAATGTTGGTTTCTCATTCTTCAGGGTTCACATTAAAAAGGTGGCTTACCTGAAGCTGTAAAAGCAGTGACAGTCAGCTTAGGTTGTTCCTTCAGTCCCGTGGACACCAACAGGGGCGCCTCCTGGTTATTTACATGACATTTTAGAATGTCACTGCCTTGATGTGGTGATGTGAGTAGAATCTAAATTTATCACCCATGTCACTTCTCAGAGTTTTTCAGTGCTGCACCATCTTAGTTTAGAGTGATTCCTAGAAGGTCAAGTTAGTGAGAAAATTCGGATGGTTCTTATAAAGGGCATTTTAAAAATTGTTTACAACTTCCAATGCCCATTGCTTTGTTGTTTACACAGAAACAGCTGACATACAAAGATGTCACTCATAGCAGTTACATATTTCAGCATTTAGGGTGGGAATAATGCTGATAGTGAGATTCTGTAACAGTAGTTGCAAAATGCCACCAACAATCTAATAAAAGGTGAAAGCAGTGTATGGCGGTTATGTTTGACAGTTAAGTAGAATGTTAGCAATTTGAACCACTTTATAGCTGTATTAGTCCTTACTTCTCTGTAGTTTACCTATATTTCGGTGTCAGTACTAAGGTACGCAGGTATTAATTAGGCTTAAAATTTCACCAAGTTTTACTTCTCCACCTGTATTTGTTTCCTGTTGCTGCTATAACAAATGATCACAAACCTTGTTTGTGGAGGCTAGAGCCCAAAATGAGCTCTACAGGGCTAACCTCAAGGTGTCAGCAGGGCTGGTTCCTTCTGGACGCTTCAGGGGAAAATCTGTTCCTTACCTCTTCCATCTTTCGGGGGCTGCCAGCATCCCTTGGCTTATAGCCACACCACTCAATCCCTGCTCCTGTGGTCACATTGCTTTCTCCTCTGCAGTCAAATCCTTCTACTTCCCACCTACAAGTAATCGGTCACACCTGTGATTACATTTAGGGTTCACCCACATAATTCAGGATAACCTCCCCATTTTGGAATCCTTGGCTTTGAAAGGATTTTGCTCTGTACAGTTAACATTCACAGATTTGGGAGCTTACGGTGTGGATGTCATTGAGGGCCATTATTCAGCCTTCTGCAGTATCCATTATATACCCAGAAATTAATAAAAAATGTTATTTTTACTAGGATCATTTTAATATATATTTCATTTAGAAGGAAATATTCTTTTAGGTTTTGATATTAATGCAGGAGTTCATGGTTGGCTTTTTTTTTAAGTCTTAAAAGAGTTTATTTGAGCCAAGTTTTTGAGGACATGCCCAGAAGCAAGATCTCAAAGGACTGAGAAAATGCTCTGGAGATTGTCAGCTTTGAGTTCCTTTTATGCGTTTAGAATCAACAGACAAAAACATAAGAAAGGTAGTGAAATCCATTGGTGATAGATTAAGGAGGCAGGAGAAAACAAAGTGGGGCAATCTCTAGAATTGGATAATGGTTGGCTTTTAATTCAACCTTTTCTCTTGCTGATTGTGTCATTAGTGGTTTTCTAAAAGTAATTTTTCAATTTTATGACATCTATAAAATACCAGTATATCCTAAAAAGAGGAATATTTTAGCACTTCCCTTTTTCTGTATTTGTAATTTTTCCCTAGCTATCAGAATGGGATTGGAAGTTACCCAGGGAAAGGGAATGAGAGTCCTATATAATTATATATATGGTCTAATTTAGTGGGAATGGGCTATGTTAGATTTGTTAGGAAATTGAAATAGAACACATTTACAGCAAATTATTTTAGATACTTTTATTTTATCATGGTTTTCCAACTCTTTTTTTTTTTTGTGTTTAGAATTCTTTTTCTTTGGAGATAATATCAAATTTATAAAATAGTTGCAAAAATAAAAATAGTACAAAAAAGCACCTGTATACTCTGCATCCTGATTCACCTAATGTTAACGTTTTACCCCATTTGATTTCTCTTTCTCTTACTTTTTCTGAATGTATGTATGAATGTACAAATGTATGTACAGTCTTTGTCTTTTGTGACATTGGCATTTTTGAAGAGTATAGTCTCCCCTCCTTTTTTCAAATAATTGTTGGAATTTTAAATTGAGATATAATTCAGGCACCATAGAATTCACTTAAAAGTGTACAGTGTTGTGGGGTTCTGCACATCTAAAGGTTATACAACCTATTATCTAATTCCAGGACCTTTTGACCACTCCAAGAAGAAACCGTTGGCAGTCAGGCCCCATTCTACCCTCCCCCATTCCCTGGCAACCCGTAACCTACTTTCTATCTCCATGGATTTGCCTATTTTAGACATTTCAAAAATGGAGTCATACAATATGTGACCTTTCATGTCTGGCTTTTTGCAAATTAGCGTGTTTTTAAGGTTCATGTGTGGTAGCATGAATCAGTACTGAAGACTATCCCGTTCTGTGGGTTAACATGATTCCATCGTACGAATGTACCACATTCTGTGTGTCGTTCAGCGTTTGGTGGGCACTCAGGCCGCTGCTCCTTTCTGGCTGTTACGATAAGGCTGCTGTGAACATTCTTGGACATTTTTGTGTGACCGCATGTTTTCAGTTCTCTTGAAATATACCTAGGAGTGGAATTGCTGGGTATGTGATCACCCTGTTTAAGTTTTTGAGGAACTGTGCACTTGTTATTTTTAGTTTATCCTCGAGAAATTTTTTCTTCTCTTTGGAAATTCAGGACAGTGATTCTGGGGTTGGGATGATGGTTTTTTTTTTCCAACTTCAGATGACCTTCCAGAAAGTTAATGTTGAGAATAACTTAAAAGCCTGGCATGGTGCTCCTCTCTTGACCTGAAAATGAAACACTAAGATGATCTGACCTAGCACAATAGTTCTTTTCATTTGTGTTCAATGGATTTTAATGCTTTTAGTTTTCTGTTTAATCCTGTGAAGAGATTGTTGGCAGCCTTACTTGTTTTGGGAGGTAAGAATGCTTCCCAATTAGGATGTTATTTACCCTTATCCATGGTTTAAAAAGGAACACTGGGAATCCATTCAATAAAGGTTTCTTCATTTCAAAAAAAAAAATCAGAGAGATCCTGGCCAGCGTGGCTCAGCGGTTGAGCATTGACCTGTGATCCCAGAGATGGAGGTTCGATTCCCGGTCAGGGCACATGCCTGGGCTGCGGGCTGGATCCCCAGCAGGGGGCGTGCAGCAGGCGGCCGATCAGTGATTCTCTCAGCATTGATGTTTCTCTCTCTCTCTTCCTCTCTCTGAATCAATAAAGATATATATATATATTTAAAAATCATAGAGAAAAATGACACTATATGTAGTATTAGTCAAAACCCTTTATATGGAAGAAAATCTTTAAGTAAATTTTGTAGGATAAGTATTTTGAAGATGTGTCAGCAAATCAGATAAAGCCATGAGAATAAAGTTTGGATATTATTTTAACATCTATAGTAATTGTTTCTTCGTGATAGGAAAGAATTTGAGTTTTTATCTAGTTCAAACGTCTTTAGTCATAGGTGAGAAGTTCTGTAAATATGTTAGGAAATGAAGAAACACAAAATCCAATTAAAGATAAGAGTATGAGTAGGGTTGAAGAATTTTGTGAGATGTCAGGAAAATTTAGTAACATTTAAATCTAAAGCTGACGGCTACAAGGACTATGAGATCAACTGTCTTTACATTATGAAGTCTCTACTATACAAAATAAGTATTAGAGTCACTGAGAAGAATCCAGAATGCCCTGGCTGAAATCTGTTAATAATAAAACCTTGATCAGTTAAAGCGATACTACCAACATGTCCTGGAATGATGGAACTGCTTCAAGAAGAGGCAGACAATTTTTAACCTAGGGAGATTTAGAATGAAGTCTAAAAATATTTGAGAATTTGGCTCATGGCATTAATGGTTTTATGCTAATGAGGCAGTACATATTTTCTTTTTGTGTACTTGTTACTTCGTCCATTGGAGTAACATGTCAGTCTTCTAATTCCATTTTTAAATTTATAATTAAGTAATGGACTTATTCTTGTGATTTTTAAATAGAAATCTTACCAGATTTATATGCATTATATGAATATTTATGAAAACTTAAGACTCACCATATTTGTACATTTAAAATTTATATGTGCTTGGATACTTTTATGAGACAGGTGAAATATCTAATGTAAGTGGAATGTCTCCTTTATTTAACTAAGTTTGTAAATGCTACCAAATATTATCCCAAACTCTTGAAAGTAATCTTTCGTTGGATGTTTGACATTGTGAATATAATATTGTTACATGCTCAATTTTTTTTTTCTTTGCAAAGTATTGGACTTTGTTCTTGTAAGCTGTTATTTGTGGGTTAACTTGAGCTTTACAAGGCTTGGCTCTGAGTTTGATTAGGGCAGATCTACAGCAGACCTGACACTAGGGCTAGCTTTCCTACTAAGCCACGACCGTTCTTGGGTCTACTGCATGTTCTCAGTGTTCAAAGAGGCCTCTTCTCTCTAGGGGGTTAGATCTTGAATGACTTCCAGCCCTTTGTAAACTCTTGAGAATTTTTCAGTTTACAAATCCCCAATTATTCTTGGCCTGGTCTTGTGGAACTCACACTGAGGCTTGCTCTTCAGTTCTCAAGCTCTTTCTCTGATAGCTCCCTCTTTTCCAGTTTTCTACCCTATAAACTCCTAAGCCTCAGTTTGTTCATTAATTAGAAATGACAGTGTCTACCTCATGCTTGTGAGGACAGTTAAATGAGTTGATGAATATAAAGCATTTTGCGCAGTGCTTGGTAAATAAATAGCAGGAGCCAAATAAATGTTAGCTTTTTTACTCTTGTTCGTGTTGTTATTATTTTTATTATTATTGCTATTCCCATCTAGGTCACATAGGTATTTCAATAAATGTTTGTTGAAGTAATGTATGAGTTTTCAGTTACATTAATATTTTTACCTTATCTGCAGTTTTAAATGTGTTTGAAATTTTTAGAAAATAAATAGCACATGAATATGTTTGGTAACATATCTTCTAATAAATTTTTAATGTTTACATTTGCTCTATGGTTCGAACAGAAATTGAAATGCTGTCTCTTTTTTAATTTTAGAGAACTATTACTACATTTCTCCATTAGTTGGTGTCTTTTTCTTGGCTCTAACTCCTATCTGGATTATAGTAGCAGCCAAGCATCCAGCCACTAGGACAGTTCTCCACTCAGGCTGGGAGCCTGTCATAACAGCTATGATTATAAGTAGGTTAGTATTAAATGTGTGTGTGTGTGTACAGAGTCCNATAACAGCTATGATTATAAGTAGGTTAGTATTAAATGTGTGTGTGTGTGTGTGTACACAGTCTGTATACCTGTATCTGTGTGTATATTAAAACAAATCAGTTGCCTGTTTTTATTTCATGAATCAGTTGTATTTTATAGCCAATTCTTTAGTATCCCAGGTACTAATGGATATAAGTGATAGGAATTATTGAAATCAGTAGATGTACAGAACCTCATTCGGCTACCAGTTTCAAGCTTCTCTCCGACCAAATCCTTATCAGATTGCTGGGTGAAATTTAGTGGTGTTTGTATATGTATTTGTGTGTGTGTGTTTTAACCTGACAAGGACATTACTTGTTTTTCATAGTTAATTGCTCAGATAGGTATCAGAAAGCCTTAGAAATGTGTATACCATTTGACTACTTCCACTTCTAGGACTTTGACAGGACTTAGGGATATAATTAAGGATATATTGCAACAGATTGAGTTGCAAGGATCCTAATAACAGTGTACCTTTTAATGGGAACTCCTAGTAGTTTAGGTATATTAAGCTATTCATTTATTTTTACTAAAGAATTAAAATAACACGATTTAATAATTTCCTAATATTAACCATCAGGTAGTGCAAAGAACCTTTGATCTGATATTTTGACCATAAATCCCATACAGTTTATTTTTCTGTATTTTGAATTGCATTTTCTTAGGAGATTTAGGCGATAGGATTCCATAGAATATTGGGACTGGCAATGTTTTATAGTATGTAGACCAAGAGACTGAAGTTAACTAATTGATAATGGTCTTGGAAATTTAAAAGGTCTCCATGCTCCATTGAGACATTCGAAGTGTATGGCTGGCCACCAATAAAACTGTGTATTATTTTTCCAGACCTCTGTTTTTAAGATCAGCTCTTTTTATGGCTACAGCTCATTATTTTGATTTACCAGTGATAACCTAACTAGTATAAAACTAGTGATAATCTAATTTTAACACAATAAAAATCATCCCTTTACTGTCTTGTTTACTTCAAATATGGAAAGATACTCATTTAAAATTATTTTTAAATTATAAGCAATAAATGCACATGGTTTTAAAAATTTAATAAGTATAGAAGTATAGAAAATGACCATTATTCTTCTCAGTCCCAGCCCCTAGAGACAGATATTGTTAGTAATTTCTTATATGTCCTTCCATACATTTTAATGCACTTAAAGTACATGCATTTCCTTTTTGCAAGTAGCATATCGTGGAGATCAGAAAGAGAGCCCCGAAATGTGCGGCTACAGCTTGTGCCATGGTTTATTTTCAATATTTTGTGATTGACATTGATTTTTACTTTGAATATTTTTATTCTGTTTTTTCCAATGTCTAAATAGTTTATTTTTAAAAGTAGGGGTGTTTGTATATAAAGAACAGCTTCAAATTAGTACATTTTTTTTCTCTTCCTTAAATTATATGCTTTTGTATCTTTCAGCATTGGGGGCCTTATTCTGGACACAACCGTATCTGACCCAAACTTGGTTGGAATTGTTGTTTACACACCAGTTATCAATGGTAAGAATTAGCAAACTGAAGCTCCAAGAGGTTAAATATCACTGAAGTCCCAGTAAGTGGCTGAGGCAGCTTGCAAACCAATGTCATCTGAGCCAGTCGGCTCTGCAGAGGACAGAGCTCTGCATTTAGGAGCCTTCATTATTCAGCCTTGTCAATATGACTTTGTTTCCCTTTCAAACACATTTTTAAAGACATTTAGCTTCCTTTAGAAAAATCTTCAGAACTCCCTGGCATGCATTTTTAAAATCTTTTAATGAAACTGCATTTTACATTATCTTAAACATTTGCTTTTAACGAATGTTTTGTTTACTAAATGAGATGTGGTGAGGAAATTGTGCACGAGTTAATTTATTACGGGGCGCCAGAGCCTTTTCACAGGGGACTGTTTACCACGCGTACTCCTGATAGCTGTGCGTAAGGCTTCTCTTTGCTCCACGTCATTACCCACAGTCAGGCTAAGGTTGTTGGGTGTGTAATGATATTTATTGTGCTTTTATTTGCACTTCCCTTAACAGTGAGGTTGAGCACCTTTTCATAAAGTGTAGCAGTTTGGATTAACCTCTTGTGAAGTATCTGTCCTTTGGCTCTTTCTCTGTTACTGGTACGGGTTCTTCATGCGTCTCTCAGTGTCTCTCCCCTCCGCGGCTGGCAGCCAAGCTCTGCCGGATTGGGCGGGAGCAGGGCTTCTCTTCCCCTCCTCCAGCGGCGGCTTTGCTTCTCCTTTCCTCCAGTGGCAGCTGATCCTTCCCTGGGATCAGGTGGCTGGCATGTTTCCTTCCCCACCCCTGGCAGCCTTGGCTTCCCGTGAGGGGTTCAGAGTAGATGGGCCTTCCTGCCTGTGTTCCCGAGGTTGGCTGTGTCAGGCCTTCTGCCCTGCCTCGCGTGGCCCACGAGCTCCTCGGGGAGGCCTGCAGCCCTGGCCGCTGTGGCTCAGGTGGCTGAGCGTTGTCCAGTGCACCAAAAGGTCGCCAGTTCAGTCCCTGGTCAGCCACATGCCCAGGTTTCAGGCTCCGTCCCCAGTTGGAGTTCCTACAGGAGGCGACAGATCGATGTGTCTCTCCCCTTCTCTGTCTCTTCCTCTCCCTCTCCTCTCTCAAATCAATAAAACTATTAAAAAAAAAAGAAATAGCTGACAAGTGAATGTGATGCCCCTGTGTCTAGGACTCCCAAGTATGCTGGCCTACCCACAGCATTTAGGAATTTTAGGAATTTTAAATTTTCAGTTGTTTTTTCCTACTTGCTGTTACGGCTGCTGCTTCTTCCTCTTGTTCTGTGGAAGGAGAAAGAGTCGGGGTGTCCTGTCTCACCTTGCGGCTGGGGTGGGGCGTACCACTCTTTGGAATTACTTTCACTTCTTGGCATCAATCACCTCTTCTCAGAGTATGGGAAAGGATAACCTAGATTAAAAGATGACTTCCTTGAGGTTTTGTGTGTTTTTAGTGCCATATATAAATTTCTTAAGCAACCTGAGAAGTTTCTATTTGAATAAATCCAGCTTATTTTTCCTCTCATTAAGATGATAAACATGATACATCTTGTTACCTAGTTTTATATCTTGGTATTGATAGTAATTTTAAAAAATTATTTTGGTCTGCTTGCAGACCAGACAGTAAGTCAGGTTTGAAAAAAATAATGACTCTTTCCTAACAATGATATTTTATGCCTTTGGACTATCTACCTCACCTTAAATAAATCAGCATTTGAGAAGAACTTTTTATTTTGTTTTATTGGCCCAGGATGTGACAAAAAGGGGCCTGCAGTTGGCAGAATTTATTTATGCACATTGTTTAAAATATGAGGATACTTACTTTGTTTTCCCGTGTTTCAGGTATTGGTGGTAATTTGGTGGCCATTCAGGCTAGCAGGATTTCTACCTACCTCCATTTGCATAGCATCCCAGGAGAATTGCCCGATGAACGCAAAGGTTGTTACTACCCATTTAGAACTTTTTTTGGTCCAGGTATGTGCTTGTGGATTTTCGTATATTTTATTTTGGGAACTATTGCTCTCTGTGAATATAGACAGATAACATTTGTTGAATACAGATTTCGTTTGAATGTGTTGCTCAGCTTTTTTATTTCTAAGCTCTAAATAGATTTTAAATAGATTTTGTTCATTAAATCTCAGTGAGCAAAGAATCATTTGTATTAATCCTGCAGTTCCTGAGGAACTTCGTATACTTTTTCTCTTTTGTCTCTTCTCTAGGATAACTTGTTTATGAGTCAGGAAAGAGCAACCTCATGGACACAAGCAAACGTTGCTCGGTGGTTTAGGGAGACAGATGTACTGTCTTTCCTGCATTGATCTTTTTGGCTTTCTAAGTGTAGGCATTTGATCCCAAACAAACAGGATGAGGGGCGATAACCTCAGTTACAAGGAACGATGCATTATTTATGTCAACCAGGAATGTGATTACCAAAAAACTAAAACAACAACTTAAATCTCACAATTCTTGGCACCTTTTTCTGATGAAAATAAATGTAATTTAAATTTTTAAAAAAATATGTCTTTATTGATTTCAGAGAGAAGAGGGGAGAGGGAGAGAGAGAGATAGAAACATTAATGATGAGTCATTGATCGGGTGCCTCCTGCACACCCCCTGCTGGGGATCAAGCCTGAAACCCGGGCATGTGCCCTGACTGGGAATCGAACTACGAGCTCCTGGATCATAGGTGGATGCTCAACTGCTGAGCCTCGCCAGCTGGGCATAAATGTAATTTTTGACTTTCAAATGAGGATCATAAATGCCCAGCCTATGATATTGGTGGGAGAACTCTAAAGGAAAAGTAAAATGAAAACATTTCAGTACTTTAATAATAACTTTTAATTTTTTCTTTTGTCTTTCCTCTGTTTTTATGCTAGATATTAAAGCCTGACCAATGTTCTTCATAGCAAATTTTTATCAATCACCTTTTATTTAATTAACATATAAGATAATGAGAATTTCAAAGAAACTTATTTTTAGCAATTGAATTTTATGTGATGCTATGTGGTATATATAGTAACTAAAAAGTAATCCTTAAATTTCAATAACTGTGACCTGTTAATAACCAAAATAGGATTTTATTTTAACAACTTTTACATTTTATATTACAGGAGTAAATAATAAGTCTGCTCAAGTTCTACTGCTTTTAGTGATTCCCGGGCATTTAATTTTCCTCTACACGATTCATTTGATGAAAAGTGGTCACACTTCTCTGACTGTAATCTTCGTAGTTGTATATTTATTTGCTGCTTTGTTACAGGTAAGAGTTAAAACCTCTTGTAATCTTCTTTATGCTCAGATTGATGTAAAAGTATAACTATGTAAATCTAAAGGCACATGAAATATTTTAACATTTCAAAAATCAACTCAACTGCCTTGGTATTGATTTGATCTTCTTAAAACCAATAACTCAAGATCTGTTTTAAACTGACCTGATCACTAGAGCCTTTGGGTCCTGTTTCCTGGATTCCACAACTTCCTGTGTTTATATATTCTCTTGTTTTGTATGAATACATCTAATAATAGATTCCTGAGAAAGGTGCATCGGAGTAAATATTTTGAGCCTCTGCATGTTGTAAAATGCCNGTATGAATACATCTAATAATAGATTCCTGAGAAAGGTGCATCGGAGTAAATATTTTGAGCCTTTGCATGTTGTAAAATGCGTGTNGAGCCTCTGCATGTTGTAAAATGCCTTTTTTTTTTTAAACGCAGATCTGTTGACTGGATATAGAATTCTGTTTCTTTTTGAATTTTGAAGGCATTGCTTCCTTGCCTTTTACCCCATTTGTTTAAAATGTCTGTTTTCTTCTATTTTATGATTGCTTTGTAATAAACATAGTATATTAACACAGTAAGTATGCTCAAATATTTAATACTGAAAGGGCTATATAATCTAAAACTTTAGAGATTACTGAGTAAAAGCGTAGAGATGAGGAAGCAGAGAGTTTAGGAGAGAAAGTAATTTATACACAGGGCCTAAGAGAAGGGAGTAGATGAGATAGGATTAAAAAGGTAGATTAGGGACCATGTAGATAGAAAGGCCTTAAATGCCAGGCAAGGGAGACTAGAATCTATTCTTTAAATACCAAAAATCCTTATGACTTACTTGATATTTTAATTTTTCTATGATGCTTTATAGTGCCTGAGATTTTATTAAAAGTTATCTATAAATCATTCATTTATTCATTCAATAAACCTTCATTCTAGTAGATGCAGGGATGGGTTTTCAGTCACAGGATGAATAAATTAAGACCCTATCCTCAAGGACTCGTCTAGAGGAAAGACCACTACATGAACAAATAATTAATATAATATCATACTATAATAGAATAAACTCTTGGGACAGCTACATACAACTTGCTGTCAGAGCATGTAAGAAAAGGCAACTGATTACCAGGGGAGTAATATTTTTCTACCGTTCAGTAGGGACAAAGTTATTTCAAATGCCTTTTTACTGCTGGCTACCTTTATTGCTTTATATGATAAGGTCATTTATTATAATTTATGTTCTTTACCATGGAAAATATCCAGACACTGTTCATTGGTCTGTTGATAAACAATGCCATTTTTTGAACATGTTCCTATTTGCAACTCTACCCCTTTGCCTCATGGATTGATTTGACATTTGTGTTTATTGCTCTGTTTATGTGTCTATCTCAGTCATTCTAGAGAAGGGATCTTTGTTTTACTTAGTTTTGTATCTCCAGCACCTGGCCCCATCCCTAGTGCTCAGTTAATGTGTGTTAAACCGAGTGTATCTTGCCAGCTCTGTCTCCTCCTTCAGTGGAAGGAGGAAAAAAGTTTATGTCTGTATTTAGGCCCCAGATAGTCTAGGGAAAAAAACACAGAAAAAATCTAAATTTTCTTCTCCTTGCTTTCAATAAACACCAATTTCCTCTCTTTCACAGATNCTAAATTTTCTTCTCCTTGCTTTCAATAAACACCAATTTCCTCTCTTTCACAGATATATAGGTATTTAAAATAAAAGGCAATGAACATAAAACACAAAACCTCACAAATTCTCTCAATGTTCAGTCGAAATTGCAAAGATTTACTGAAATGCTTAGAGATGAAATTACTTGGTGATAGCTAGGGAAAAGCACAAGTAAAGGGCATAGATAAAGCGAAATTGGCCCTGGGCTGATAATTGATGAAGCTGAGGGATGGCATGATAATGGTATGAGGTTAATTTGTACTAATCTGTCTACGGTTGTGTATGTTTGATTTTTTCTACAAAAGGAACTTTAATATAGGAGGTTGTCAGAGCACATGAGCTGTCTAATTTTGGTCCTGTGGCTATTTCTTACGTCAAGTGAAAAGTAGAAAGTCTGCTTGAGTTTGAAATTGTTTGGGACTTGGATTGGTCGAGCTTGTGTCTTATTTGCACACTGACTTCATTATTTCGCAGATTATGTTGTTCACGTATTTGTTATGGGTCTTGCAATTAGAAGGAATCCAACAAGTGTGTCTTTGTTATGTGATATTAAGGCCACTGAGCCATGGACAGTAGATGTGATGGATTATTCACTTACTCAAGTTCTCGCCTGGTGCCCAAGACCAACCAGAGTCGTTGTAATGTGTCACGGCCTGAGTAATGTGTGGAGGACCCATTCACGTTTAGTACCTGATCAGTCACAGTACATTTCGAGTTATTTTTTTCAATAGTACGGATGGGTTGGCACCAAACTCACCATCCTGTGCCGCCCATTGTACCTTTTGTGTCATCAGGGAGCATTTATGAGACTGCTAGCTGTGGTTAAGGGTAAAACTGCTGACGTTGGAACACAGTTTTTCATCTATATCAAATTAGCCCTTTGAACCTACAGCCTTGATTTGCTAGAACCTGAGTGTACTTTCTTTTACAAACTTGGAGACAGCTTGGGTTCTTTCTCTCTAAGAACCCAGTGATCTCCTCTGCCTTCACATCTCACTTATTCAGGTGCCCACTGACTGCTGGAAGCCTGCTAGTTTGTGACATCAAAAGCACAATATGGAATTCCAGGCTGGGATGGGCCTGTCGGGTTTCCTTCTAAGATGGACAGAGGGAGCATCTTCTTCAGGGTGTTCCGTCGCTGATTCCTGCTTGCCTTATGTAGTACCTTAACTGCATAATACACCCGAGAAGGTTCAAAGATAACAATCAAATATACAGACCGACAATCTCTTGTGACTCATGTCCCTATTTTACTTAAAGCCTCTGCTAGTTCCCTTTTGTGTTGGAAATTCTTCTTTTGTGAAAAGACAAAAACATAGAGTTTGGGTCACATACCCTACAAGAGGCAAAAAGATGGAATATGTTGACTTTTTTCCTGCTATGGAATACCTAAATGGGAAAAGAGAAATGAGACTTTTCTAGCCCTAGATGCCTGTTGGATTCCAACAAAGTGTTTAATATAATTGGTAAGCAATGCAGCCCATTTTCTAAATGAAATTTTTAGTTCCCTCTTTTCCTACAGGAAATTAGATTACAAAGAACTCTACAGAATTCTTGCAGCACCAAGTTCTATGAGAAACTCACTATGAAAATCTGGTTGTAGAAAACCATTGCTCCTGGCACATCTCTTTTTTCATGTGGGAGAGACAAAATATTTCCTTTAAATGGTAGAATGACAATCAGTTCTCAGTATGTAAAGTTGAGAATTGTGACTATCAAGATTTTATCAAATATATAGTACATACAGTCTTCCAAGTACTATGCTTGACACTGTACAAAAGAAATAGGAGACGTTGCCCCTGCCCTTTAAGATCGTCTCTTAGTTGTGGGAGATTACAGTTAAATGCATAAAACAGCTAGAAGACTCAGACTTACCTCCTTATAACAATAGTTTTCTTCCTGTCACTTCAGAATCAAACTTGGTGCCTGTGCCTGGCTTCATTCTTTAAAAGTGTTTTAAAACATTTTTGGGGGGTGGGGGGATCAGAGTATAGATTATAGCTAATGAGAAACTTGAATTAATAGCAGTAAACATGAAACTATTATTTTAAAAAAATAATTCTTGAATTTATTGTTACCATAGCAAAGAAAATTTCATATATTACCATCCTAAGAAAACATACATCCAAGTATTTTTATACATAAAATGCAAAATAATGGATATCTTAATCAGTGTTTTTTGGGATTCAAGTCACAGAAACTTACTGGCACTTGCTTAGACACAAAAATAGGAATTTATCAAGAAATATAAACCTAGCCTGGCTGGTGTGGCTAAGTGGTTGCGCATTGACATAGGATCCAGGAGATCACAGTTTGGTTCCCGGTCAGGGCACAGGCCTGGGTTGTGGGCTTGATCCCCAGCAGGGGCCGGGCAGGAGGCAGCCGGTCAATGACTCTCATCATTGATGTTTCTCTCTCTCCCTCTCCCTTCCTCTCTCTGAAATCAATAAAAATATATTTTTAAAAAACTTAAGAAATATAAAGCTAGATATGGAATTGGAGAGGAAGGAAGACACTCCCGCCTTTGGAGGAACAGAGACGGGGATCTAGAGAGCATTTGGCCTCCAGCAGCATGCTCTCAGACTCCTTTACGACGCATAACCTTCCATCTTACTGGATGCTCTCTCCGCTGTCTGCATTGCACTTCTGGGGCAGAGTCCACCCCACAGCTGCAAACAGCATGCCTTTCATCATGGGGACGGTAGAGCTGGCCTGCTTCCCCACATCCAGTTCCAGCTCTGAAGGAGCAGAGATGAGTGGTCCAGTCTGGGCCAGGTAGCCATTCTAGTCCAGAGGGGCATTGCCAGGGAGCCGGGTCATGGAGTTAAAAATACGGTTCCTGGAAACTACTCTTAACAAAATAATAGTAGTTCCACTTTTTATTAATATCATTTTAAAAACATGCCTCCCCAGAGTTCATCACTAGGCAATACTTATTGTTGAATTTTATACTCGCGTAAATTGCATCATGTCATATTTCCCAACACGTTTGTATTTTCAAGAAAAATTGTTCTCAGCAAATCCCAGGTCCACTTTAAGCGAGCAAATGGATGCCCTGCGTAATAACATAGGGTATTGGTTAATACTGATTAATGAATTTCTAAGAAGCATTTCTGTTTTACAAATAATAGCTCATGGTCGTTTTAAAACATATGGTTTGTAATACGAACAAGGCCACAATACAAATAGTGCAAATTAAGAGCAAGCATCTTCCATTCCTCATCTAGCAGAACATGCTTGGGGCAGAAATATGGTCCGCATACTTACTGAAAGAAGCAATGAGAGAGTATAATTGAAAAATAAATGTTAACAAAGGCATTGAC